AAAAAAGGAGGCTAAAAAGAAGCAGAGTGTAGAATGACACAGTCAAGTCGAAGTACTTGAAGAAAAAAAAAAACATACCAACTAAAAATCTTACATTAAACAAAATTACATTTTAAAAATAAAGGTAAAATAAAGCTATTTCCAGATAAACAAAGATAATTTATTGCTTGCAGAGCTCTCTTACAAAAAAAGGCTAAGGAAGTTCTTCATGCTGAAAGAAAGTAAACCCAGATTCTGTGTGAATCCATACAAAGAACAGAGTACCAGTAAAGGTAACCACATAAGTAATTATAAAAGACAATATAATTACATATATTCTCTGATCATCACTTAACTGATTTAAAAATTAATTTTTAAAACAATATGCATATCATCATATGAAGAGATTTATAACATATTTTCCAATAACAATACAAATGAGGGCGGGAAGCTGTGTTGGAATAAGGAAAAGACACTAACTGGTAATTTGAAACCACAGGAAAAACTGAAGAGAACCACAAATAGCAAGCAAAAAGATTAATGTCACAAATTTTATAAGTACTGTATATACTTGCTCTACTTTTTTGTCAGCTTCCTTAAAGGACATACAATCATATAAAGTAATTCTAACAGCATATTGTTGAGTTTGTAGCACACATAGATATAACATGTATAACAATAATAGGAAAAAAGGGGGGAGAAAGGGAATAGGAGTGACATCTCTATGTAACACTGAAATTTAATTAGTGTAAATCTGACGTAGAATCCAATAAATTAGGATTCCCTAAGAAAATGAGTCACAAGAATGAAAAATTCTTTAAAGAAATAAAATGTTATACTAGAAAACATTCATTTAATGTAAAAAAAAAAGTAGTAAAGGAGGACTACAGAAGCAAAATGGAAGGAGAGGCATAGAAAACAAAAATTAAAATTGCAGACATCAATACAACAGTGTCAACAATAACATTAAATCAGAATTGTTTAAATGAGTCAATGAAAAAGAAGGAATGGTATGATGAAATTAAAAAAAAAATCCAACTGTATGCTGTTTACAGGAACCTACTTTAGACCACAGATACAAATTAGTGGAAAGGAAGTAATGGAAAGGGTATAAAATGCAAATGGCAACCATAAGATAGTTTCAGTA